TGCCTGTAGGCTGAAGATGGATGCCCCAATGGTACAGAAGAACTTTGGGTGGCTGTTCAGGCAGTGAGATGTCTCTGTCATTTCTAGAGGTTTGGAAGTTGCTAACATTGTGCTTTATGTAGGCAATATTATATCCTTCTGGAGTCTTTGATGTAGTTGAAAAATTATAGTTATAGTTCTCCTTAGTTATGATAAAAGATAAAGTAGATGTAAATATTGTAACTGTAATACTTGCTTGATACCTGTTTTGTTATATGTAATTTTACTAAGTTAAAACCTTCCTTTTCATATAAACAGAAAGGGGGAAATGATGACAGAGGGAGGTCCTTATGTCTATCTGTTGCTTTTATTGGTTAATGAATAAAGAAACTGCTTTAGACTTATAGCAAGGAAGAACTTAGGTAGGTAGGGAAACCTAAACTGAATGCTGGGAGAAAGAAGGGCAGAATCAGAAAGAAGCCATGGAGCCTCTGTAGAGAGATGCTGGAAACTTTAGCCGGTAAGCCACATGGCGATTCACAGATTAATAGAACTGGGTTAAATTAAGATGTAAGAGTTCGCCGATAAGAAGTTAGAGCTCATGGGCCAAGCAGTGATTTAATTAATAGAGTTTCTGTGTGATTATTTCAGGTCTAAGATAGCCAGGCTGCTGGGAACCAACAAGCACCCCTTCCTTACTACAAGAATGTCAGGGAGGGTGAAGGATTAATATGAAACAATGAGTAGAATGCCACAGAGTGACCCTCACACACCTGGCACAATAGTGATCCTTATATACCTGTCACCAACTTGCTGCTTTAGGAAACGGTCTTGTTCACTCTGAGAAAAACAAAACAAAACAAAAACAAACAAACAAAAAACTACAGTGGAAAAGAATTGTTCATGGTCATGCAAATAGCCAGGGTCACAGTCAGGACCCAGAGGTCTAGAGCTGGCAGTGCAGCCAATGCAGCCTAGTTCTGCTTCCTTATGTGCCATGCTGCAGGCTCAAATGCCATCTCCAGTCTTCTGACCACTCCATTTCTGTTATCTTAGTGGCATCCTGGGGTTCTTCTTGCTGCCATCTAGAAGTGTCTACTCTTAAGAACATCTCAACATGGACTGCTACCTTCCCAGTGTCATCAGCACAGGGCTTTCAAAGTTATCTTGTGAGGAATTCTGAGCATCAGATTGGGCACACATGTGGTTCAAATCTTGATAGTCAGACACAACTCAGCTATAGAACCCATTTGTTAATCACATTTTCCATAACACATTCTTTATGTCAGTTCTTTCTAGAAGAACCCCAAAACCCCAGAGACTCCACTTTTCTGAAGAGAACATGGAAATCATAAAATATGAATGATCAATTAATTGTATACATTAGGCTTCCTGAATTTAAGTTTTCAAACAATATGCTTGCAGTCAGTATAAAACACTTTCACAGGCATCACTAAAGACAGCAATGCACTGTATGGATTGGAACTCATGTATGCACCCAGCCCAAGGAAGCTTCCTGAATGCTGGAAATGTGTCTTTTGGGGTTCTGGGTAACAGTTTCATATAGCTGCCAGCATTCTAAACAGGGAAATAAAATGAGAGAGCTGGAGGGCAGGGTCAGGACAAGCGTCTAGCAGACTCTTGGCTGCTGCCTAAGGAGCCAATATCCTTAATATGTAGGCAACACTCAGCCCACGTGAGGGGCAGGACAAGGTGGCCTGGATCAGAGTATTCTGTAGAAAGGAACAACTGCCATGCTTCTCCAAGATCTAGGCAGAACTCAGTAAGCTACTATGCAGACTGTGAGACTGGGTGCCACTGGAGGACTAGAGTTGGGGGACATGGAAGTCACCTTAGATACTTCTGGCTATTGTGTCAGAGAGTAGTGTTGAGAGACTGAAAACCACGCTGACATCTGAAAACTTCCTTGAGCGGCTCAGAGAACAGTCCCCCACCTGCCATAGTTTGGCATTGATGCAGTGGAGGAGGCAATATCACTGCTTGAATTTACAGGACTTGTTCAGCATATGCATATGCAGCATATGAAGAAATAGAGGGTAACTCTGAGGTCTGCTGACAAGGAAGAAGTTGTCCCAGCGGAGTGAGAGTTTGGGTATGTCGCTAATTGAGTGGATGCTGGTGTGTTTTCACAAGCATGTGCATCCTAAGGGTGCCAAATATTTGGGTGACAGGAATGCAGATCAAGAAGCCAAGTTTTAGCTGCTGTATGTTTAAAACAATCCTGAGACAAATAAATGGACAAATCCAGTAGAGCTTTGGAACAAAGTTGAAAGCTCTAACTACATAAAAGCAAGGATTGCAAATTTCAGAAAGGCCCTTAAATGTTATTTTAAAGCTATTGGTCTTTACATTGCTTTGGATGTTTACATATTTTAAAACAAAACTGATATTCTGAATTTGAATACACTCTGATTTGGGGATACATTGTTTGCTGAAAATGATTTCTGCCCCCTTTCAGAGCAGCTTTTGTTACAGGGAGAGAGGGACAGAAATAGAAGAGAGGGAGAACTCAAGAAGCTTCTGGCTTCTCCCTTCTAGACAGTGACTGCAGTCTTGTTGCTCAACCTCCAAAAATCCAACTTCTTCCAGTAGAAAAACAAACAGCATTGTCTGTTTGCATTTGCATACGGTAACCACTCCAAAAAGAAACATTTGGAGAAAGATATTTCCTACAGTAGGACTTTTTCTTAATCTTCCCTTCCACTCTCTGATCTCTTTTCTTCATAGCGTGAGTCTCAATTGGTCTGAGATACACTTAGTTGCCCAATGAGAAGGTTAATTGACCATATTCAACCACACTGACAACATTAAGGGACTCTGCACCCCACAGTCTCAGAGGCTTTAACTTTAACAAGATGCCAAAACACCCAGTGAACAAAAACTTGAGGTAGACCTGATTCCCCAATTACCCATAACTACCAATAAAGGCTTCAATAGTGTTCCATTCCAAAGAGCAGAGCTCTCAGCAATTAGACAATGCAAGGTAAATCACACAGAAAAAGAAATAAAATGGATGAGGAATGTTGGCCATGAATAAAAGACACAAATAATAAAGGTAGAAGAGGAACATTTAGAAAAAAATTAAACACCCCACAATTTGTTTAAAAGTGCAAGCCAAAGTGGAAAGTTGGTAAAAGACACATTTAAGAAATGTGAAGGGGAAATACACTCACACCACAGCAACTCAGCTGCAGTAAAAGGAAACAGGCACGGCAAGAAAAAGCAGGAAGGAAAAATTTGCTCTTGCGTACTTCTGGCTTGGTGACTGATGCCATGACTCTCAATAGTAACAGACAGTATCGTGCTGGCTTTTAGACCAGCCTTAAAGAGACAAGCAAAGATCCCAGCGCACAATGCATTAAATCTCAGGTGCTGGGAGTCACGGCCACACAACAGACTAGTTAAAATACTCTAATCAGTTCATTTTCCCTTCTTCAATTAAATCTCTAATTACTTCCACAATGCAAAAACAATTATGTTGGTCTTAGATAACATTTTATTGTTCTTCTCTCTGCCATTCCTGTACTTTTAATAGTCAACCACAGAGAGCATGGTCTTTGCAGTTAAAAATCTAGATGCCTTCGTATTCTCTCTCGACACCATCACACAAAGGGCCAGACTCGTGAATAAGGAGAAGTACTTTGGAGTCCATCACAGCTACAGGAAGAAAACATAGAAAGCATTCGGCTTTTTGAAGGTATCAGTAAGTGGTAATAATCATAGGCACAAAAATTCTGGGACCCAGACAGCCTGCTCAGGGAAGCACTGCCTACAAGGCTAGCTCCATCCAAGGTAATATTCATAACAACACAAGGCCAGTCTTACAGGATGTCACATGCTAGCTAGTTTAAGTGATTTACATGCATTAACTAATTTGATCTTCAAAGGAACCTTCTGTAGTGGATACAAATACCCTTCCCGTTTTATACATGACATTCAGAGATACAGTACAGTTACTCCTTGACTGATGGAGGTGGGTCTTGTATCTTATCTGTTGCTTTCATTGGTTAATAATAAAGAAACTGCCTCGGCCCTCATAGGACAGAAAATTAGGTAGGTGAAGTAAACAGAAGAGAATGCTGGGAAAAAGAAGCTGAGTAGAGGAGTCGCCATGATTCTCCCGCTCCAGACAGACGCAGGTTAAGATCCTCCCTGGTAAGCCAGCTCGTGGGCTACACAGAATATTAGAAATGGGTTAGAACAATATGTAAGAGCTAGCCAATAAGAAGCTGGAACTAGCCGGGCCAGGCAGTGTTTAAAAGAATACAGTTTCCGTGTAATTATTTCGGGGCATAAGCTAGCCATGCGGGCCGCCGGGTGCCCAGGACACACCCCTGCCGCCGCTCCTAATTTCAACAGAGTGGCGCCCGACGTGATGGGCTAAATCCACTTAAAAACCTGAGAAGTCTTAAAAATAAGGAAAAGAGAGTTTAACGCAGCTTTTTGCTGTTTGTGGGTGGTGTGCTGCAGAGAGAAATTGTCCTGACTCAGCAGCAGGAAAAAACTGGCTGTTTGAAAATGCCGGCTTTCTGGGCTGTGCCGCCATCGCGATCTCTGTCTGGCTCCTGCGGGAGACAGAGCTTTTGAATGGAGCATTTGGAGTAAAATGCTATGGCTTGTTTGATGACAATGTGGACTGCTGTGTGCCTGGAACTGTGTGTGGCTCAGGGGTACCAAATGGCTCTGAGGCAGGAGCAGCTTGGCTCAGCTCCGCCATGCTGAACTGTGCTGGTCTCAGGCAGGAACTACCGTAATTACCTTAAAACTGCGTAGTTAAGGTTTAGACTAGACAGGACACAGGCAGTACCGTATTACCTGTACATGGTGCAACTTAAGTTTTTAAGAAGTGCTTAACATTTTAAGAAATGCTCCTGGATAGTGAAAAAATTACAGATTCACAGTAAAACAGATTAAGACATAAAAGACCTTTATGGAGTACATTGTTGGATGAATGTACGTAGGCTTGGGAAAGAGAAGAAAAAGAATATAAAAAAGTTAATGTCTTAAAAAAAAGGGTAAAGTCTTTAAAGAGACAGAGTACAGATAGTTATAGATTAAGAGAAATAAAGAAAAATAAGCCACATAAAAATGGAAAATTCACAGAGAGTCTGGATTATGTACATTGTAATTTCTTTAAAATTTTTGACTGTGAAGGAGCTAAGTACAGAGAGACATTTCATTATATGGGCTGCTAAGCTGAACCTGCACATATGTTCTAAAGGTATCTTGACTTCAGAATTTGGATCTAAGGTTATGATGCTTTGGAAAAGTCCTTCTTTTGTTTTCACAGAGGATGTGACCCTGTGGATTGCATCTATTCCGATTTGGTATGATAGACCACGCCCTCCTGAAAGGTTGCTGTGAACACCCTCAAAAAATTGCTTCGCTCAATTGCCAACTGAGATGAAACTAGCACACAGGTTATATCATGAACGACCTAATTAACGACGCCCCTATTCAGCAGGAAGCAGTTTGGAGAGAAAAAACTACGCCCATGTTCCCAAATATTGTTTATAAATGTTCTTTTACATTTAAAGGGGGATATGATATAGATATGAATAATTTGCATTGGTATGGATTTTATGGTCAATTTTGTTATATGTATATGTATTTTTGATCTTGATTAAGGTATTGTGATTGTGTAGTTCATTTAAAAATGTAATGTATAATTAGGAAATATAGGTTGTTAATGGATAATCATCGCTAATAGTTAAGCTTGTAGTCATGTTAGTTAGATTTTCTAGATATATAGAGATATATTTCAGTTAGATAGGCATTCTTCATATCTTTCAAAGACTGCAGAATATGGCATTTAAAATATTTTAATAACTTAGGACTTTTCATGACAAGGAGACACGTCTGCTCCTGGCAGCACCAGCTACTTCAAGAGGAAGATGGGCATCGAAGAGGATCCTTATGGAGTTGGATAGTCATTTGGGCAAGAAACTGCTCTTGCCTGGACTGTTGCATAAACTGGACACAGAGAACCCTCAGAGAGAGGACTGCTGAACTTGCCTAAAGGTGAGATGGTCTTTCGGGGTTCCTGATTCATGAAAGAGTCTGCGAGACATTCTGCAGGACACAGCAGAAAATGACTGAACTGTCTTTGAAATTTCCTGCTTCATGGAAATGTATCTGGATACCATGGGCCTGTAGGCCGAAGATGGATGCCCCAACGGTACAGAGGAACTTTGGGTGACTGTCCAGGCAGCGAGATGTCTCTGTCATTTCTAGAGTTTTCTTATTTCTTGTTTACTTAGGTAATATTATATCCTTCTGGAGTCTTTGATGGAGTTGAAGAATGAATAGTTATAGTTTTCCTTAGTTATGGTAAGAGATAAAATAGATATAAATATTGTAACTGTAATTCTTACTTGATAACTGTTTTGTTATATGTAATTTTACTATGTTAAAGTTAAAGCCTTTCTTTTTTTGTTTAAACAGAAAAAGGGGAAATGATGGAGGTGGGTCTTGTATCTTATCTGTTGCTTTCATTGGTTAATAATAAAGAAACTGCCTCGGCCCTCATAGGACAGAAAATTAGGTAGGTGGAGTAAACAGAAGAGAATGCTGGGAAAAAGAAGCTGAGTAGAGGAGTCGCCATGATTCTCCCGCTCCAGACAGACGCAGGTTAAGATCCTCCCTGGTAAGCCAGCTCGTGGGCTACACAGAATATTAGAAATGGGTTAGAACAATATGTAAGAGCTAGCCAATAAGAAGCTGGAACTAGCCGGGCCAGGCAGTGTTTATTAGAATACAGTTTCCGTGTAATTATTTCGGGGCATAAGCTAGCCATGCGGGCGGCCGGGTACCGGGGACGCAGCCTCGCTGCTCCTAATTCAACACTTGACCACACAGATAGGTAGCTAATAAATAAAATGGGATTCCAAAGCTAGAAAATTAGCTACATATCCCAAACTCTCAGTCCCCGGTTTAAGTTGAAGTTTCGCTTGAGCTAAATTCATTAGCAAATGAATCATATTTATTTCTGCTATTGTGTCCTTAGTAAGTTGCTTAGAAAAAATTTTCTTTTTTTGTGTCATTAATTACTCACTGTTAACAAAGCTGACATGATTTAAACACTTCCTAGGAAAATTTGCACACATGCAACAGTAAACCCGCAGTCAGTTATCTGGATACAATACAGTGAGGGGCCTCTCTGTCCATCTCAGGGTGCCCAGAGCCTCATGAGTTTCATCTGCCACAGTCCTAATGTCAGAAAGACTCACTTGGTCATGATGACTTACCACAATTCACTAGCTGTTTAACAGTGCTTAAAGGCTGATTATTAAGAATTTCAAAGCAAGCATTTAGTATATGCATAGTAATCGTAAAAGTCACAAGAGGACTTCTGGTTCTTTCCTATTTTAGAATGGGATGTAAGAAAAAGTAAAAACTGGCACTGTCTCACAGTGGGAAGGGAGCTCTGGGATTTTATGCTCTTTGTGGCTTACTACTACTCTCCGTCTGTTATATCATGTGCTCCTTTTAAACCAAGTGAGATACAGCTCATCCTTCAAGGTCTGGATCCAAAGCCGTTTCCTCCGAGATACTACTTCTGATACCAGAGCTATCGAATCACTATTTCTCATGATATCCACAGTCGCTGGAGTGTGCCTCTGCATGTCCTTATCATAGTGTGCCCAGCATGACACAGCTCTGTCTGCCCCATCTCTGGAGATTCCTAGTGAGTAGGAACTGGAAGGAGAGGATGCAGTCCTACAGCTAAATGCGGAGTTTCAGAACTAGCCAAATTCAACTCGGACCATGGCTGCATGGTCTTCCATAAGATTTCTGCCTACTGGGTAAACACAATATAAGAGTGTGTACTCTGGCCCCAAGGTTCCTGAGGTCAATTACCAAGCTCCTTATTATATCATCTATTCGTGCCAAAGTTTTCTCACCAATATGATCAGAATGATGAGAGACAAACTCTTCATGTTTTGTGAAAGTTAAAATAATGAATCTGGGACAGCAAGATGGCTCAGTGGGGAAAAGTAATTAATGCTAGTGGGCTTCTGATTCCCACGGGTGTACTGTGGGACGTGCATGGTACCCAGACATGCACAAGTGTGCACGTGCATGCACACAAAGTAAAAGCATGAATCTATGAATTACGAACAGTAACGACAAAACCACACTCAGTAAATTTCTACTCTTTGTATTAGTATCTGGCAGATTTGGGTGATGTACACTTGTTTGTATACAGCTAAGCTGAAGTTAAAGCAGTTGGCCCTGGCTTCTCTGGGGACTTTGCACAACGGATCTATCATTTATGAAGGAATAGATCGTTTTACACGTGGCAGAGCATGTAGTTATTAGAATGTTGATAGCAGTTAATTTATGATAGGGCAGAAGGCAAATATTGTATGAACCTTGGCTAATAGGTAGTTCTTGCTTCTCTTGTTGCTCTGAAGATTGCCTTGTATCCATTAAAGAGAAGACATAGCTCTATCACAGCGCTACATCTGAAACCATATTTATATGTTCAGGATTCCTTTCAGCTGGTCTGGCAGACATCTGAGAGATCAAAATACTATCATAAGATTAAAGTAATTAAATGTTTAAAAATTTTTTCCACTGAGTTTTAGAAATACATGAGCTTTATAATCATTTATAAAGTACAAGCCAAGAAGAGAAGTACCTGGGTGGTGGTGGTGCACACCTTTAATCCCAGCCCTCAGAAGGCAGAGGCGGATCTACATGAGTTCAAGGCCAGCCTGATCTACAAAGCAAGTTCCAGGACAGCCAGGGTTACACAGAGAAACCTTGTCTCAAAAAAAAAAAACAAAAAAAAAAAACCCAAGACAGAACGAAAGGAAGGAAGGAAGGAAGGAAGGAAGGAAGGAAGGAAGGAAGGAAGGAAGGAAGGAAGGAAGGAAAGGAAGGAAGGAAGGAAGGAAGAGAGAATAGTAGAAGTGAGAAAGGAATCTATGATGGGCTTTCTAAGTTTTTTTTTTTAAGAGAAATATTGAACAATGCCTGATTCGTGGGCCTTTACATGGTATGAACAGCCTTGGCTCACAGGTTAGTGAAGGGCCTTACCAGTGACTACATTTTTTAATAGATGAGACTGCTTCTCTTGAGCAGTTTGTCAGACTTGCCACAATTCCGTCCATACACTGCCGTACTCTGAGCACTGACAACTGATCACACCATCTTTTTCCTGATGGAATAGTTATTAGAAATACAGTTGCTCTTTCTGTAAACATCCCAAATCTGTGTGCACGATCTAATACATGACACAATGCAGGAAGCATTTTGATTGGCTCTGCATTTTCTTGGACAAAGCCTTAAAAATCAAAGAGATCGTAACTCCTCCTGATGTAAAGTTGCTTTGCCATTTAGAATAATGTCCTAAAGAATATCTTATCATTGGATCAGAAGAAAATGCTATAATAGAACTGAATTGATGCTTCATTTGCATGGCACAGGTACACAATGGGTTTATGCACCTAAAGATGTCAATATGAGAACATTCTTTTCATGTACTTTTCTAAGAAGACAAGATGGTCCAGTTCTACCCACAGATTGGCTCTTGAGTGACTTCCAAAGGCACATGTTTTAAAAGCTTGCTCCACTGCCTGTGTTATTATGGTTAGAAGGGGGTATCGTTCAGAGGGGAAACTTGCATAGGCCCTCGGAATGTGGGTGACAGTTCTGTGGCATAGGCAGTCTAAGGGGCCATTGGCACCGGGACCAGGATTTATCCCTACTGCTTGAACTGGCTTTTTGGAGTTAATTCTCTTTTTAGGGATTCCTTGCTCAGCCTAGATATAGGCAGGAGACAGAGGAGGCCTTGGTCCAGTCTCAAAGTGATGTGCTAGACTTTGTTAACTCCTCATGGGAAGCTTTTCCCTCTCTGAGGAGTGGATGGGGATAGAGTGAGGATAAGATGTAAAGGAGTGGGAGGAGGAGAGGAAGTAGGAACTGGGATTGATTCGTAAAATGAGAAAAGATTGTTTTTAAACAAACAAACAATTAAATGAAACAAGGAGCATGCAAAGAAGTTAGGCCATTGGGGACACACCCATGAAAGGAATGTTCGTTTGGACACTGGCCCCTTCCTCTCTCTTTCTGTGCCTCCTGGCTACCCTGAGGTGAATGATTTCCCACGCCACTTAGCCTCTATCACGTGCCACCACAGAATCAAAGCAAAATTAAAGTGTCTTTTTCTAAGTTGGTTTTCTGGTATTTGTCACAGTGAAGGACAGCCGACCACCTCCCTATCAATATGGCGGCAAGCAGAATAACAGACATTTCCTTCGCAGTCTGAGTCTGGAATCTTGCTCTTCTTACAAACACCTAGCATCTCCTTATGCTGATCTCTGAGTCCAGGATGCAATTCTTCTTACTCTTTAGACACCCCAGCCCTGGTTTCTTCCCTCGGAATTTAACTTTGGTCAGTTCTTGTTACAACTTTCTCACTGTTTCTGTATCAGTTGCCTCTATTTGCCTATATCTGTATTCTTAGAAACCCAAAGAAGTAACCTAGTCCAACTTGGCTGCTAGTGGTTTCAGAAATTGTGGTTTGATCTCTCTATTCTATAAGCAAACATAGGTGAAGACAATTTTTCTACCTTAGATACGTTTTTTGGCATATTTGGGTCACTTATTAAAAAGAAAAATATCTGATATAAAATTTGCACAAACTTTGGAAGAGCATAACAAAATAAATAATAAAATCTACAAACAACTGGCAATAACCATAATTAAAAATACTCATTCCTATTTTTTTCATTCATATTCCCTTGCACAAGCAGACGTGCAGTTAATTCCGGATCATATTAGGCAGATGGTTTGCTATGCCATTTTAAAACTGTTTGTATTTTCTTGGGTGATAAAATATTCCTTTGAGAGATAATTTATAATGGCTGCCAAGCAGCATATCTTAAGAATAACACAGTTAAGAACAAGAGACAGAAGATTTCTGTGACTACACCCCACCCCAAAGTACCAGCCTCGACAGGAAGGCATCAAAGAAAACTCTTTAAAAACATGATAAAGATGCTGAAGTGTAGCTCTCTTTGACAGACAGCTACTGGCAAGGTTTGAGAGTGGCAGGACTCAGTTTCCTTTTAGGGGCTGGCCACAGAGAGTTTGAGCATGGGCCAGGGACTATAAGGACAACACATTTTTTTAAATATATCTTTTTTAGTGGGGTGGGTCACAGGGGTGGAGAGGCTGACCTGGGTGGTGTGAGACAATTCTGTATTCTGTCCATTATATTTTAAATAAATGCTAATTGGCTAGTAACCAGGCAGGAAGTATAGGCGGGACCACCAGACAGGAAGTAGAGATGGGGCAAGGAGAACAGGAGTATTCTGGGAAGAAGGAAGCTCTTTCCCCAGTCCTGTCCAGATTCTGAAGAAGGAAGATGTGACCTACCCTGTCAAAAAAGGTACCGAGCCATGTGGCTAACATAGATAAGAATAATGGGTTAATATAAGCTATAAGAGCTAATATGAAGCCTGAGCTAATGGGCCAATCAGTTTATAACTTCTGTGTGATTTTCTTTGGGGCTTACCAGCTGCAGGAACTGGGCAGGACAGAAACCACTACAAGCAGGCCCTTATGTTACACCTGGGAGGACTGGGAAGTTAGGGTGATTGAGGTGCATTATGTGAAATTTCCAAATAATCAATAAAAATATTATGTTAAAAAGAATAAATTCTAATTTCACTCTAAAACTTAATGTGGCTGATTTACCTGGATTAATAATGGGGTACAGTGGCCCCTGTTTTACATTATACCTCCTGAATCTTATGTGTTAAGAGGGAACCAATACTGTGAGGGGGAAACAGAAAGAAAAAAGAGTTGACTCTGGCTAGAGACATATGCTGTAATATGACCACATTTGTATTTAACTGTGACGAATTTCTACATTGCCTATTATTGATTCTTGCCAGAAATCAGTAGAGCATTAATGCAGAATTAATAGTTTTAAGGAAAGCCAAATAAGGTTATGTAAACAACTGGAATCTAAGACAAGTACTGTTCTGTGAAACAAAGCCTATAGAGGAGGTGGGAAATGCAAAAGGAAAAATAAAAAAAACAGTCTGGAAGGAAATGATTTTAGAAGAGAAGAGATTCTGAGTCTGCTGGTATTTTATTTACAAATGCTTATATTTCACATGTCTATGTGTGTAGGAGGGGGATTATATGTGTGTGTATGGTTATGCTATTGAGTCCATGCTGAGCTCAGAGGACAACTTGCAAGATTTTGGTGTGGGATGTTCTTCTGTATGCTGTGAGTATGTTTTATTACCATTGGTTAATAAAGAAGCTGATTTGGCCAATAGCCTGGCATGATGTGGGAGTGTCATATATCAATCTGTTGATTTCATTGGTTAAGTTATAATAAACCAGCTGCTTGGCCTCATGGCTTGGAACATAGATGGGAGGAGTAAACAGAATAGAATTCTGGGCGGAAGAGGAAGTGAGGTCAGACTCTGCTCTGCTTCCGGAGAGAGAGCCGACAGCTCGGGAGCAGAGATGCCATGCTCAGCTCTCCCAGGCAACTCCAACACAGGATGGACATAGGCTAGAATCTTCCCGGTAAGCGCACCTTGGGGTGCTTACACACATCATTAGAAATGGGCTAGTCCAGGTGCGAGAATTAGCCTGTAAGGGCTAGAGTTCATGGGCCAAGCAGTTCTTAAATGAATACAATTTGTGTGTTGTTATTTCGGGCATGAGCTAGCCAAGCGGCCGGGGTGTTGGGGACGCAGCCCCGCCGCTCCTATTTCAACACTGGCAGAATAGAGCCACACAAGAAATTCAAGCAGAGAGACAGAGAGAAAGAAGACGGAGTCAAGGAGACACAAGTAGTCACCGAGGAAGCAAGATATGAGATAACAAGTCACAAGCCTTGCGATAAAATATAGTCTAATAGAAACAGGTTATTTTAAGTTGTAAGAGCTAATTAATAGCAAGCTTGAGCTAATAGGCATAACCGTTTGTAATTAATATTAAGTGTCAGAGCAGTTATCCTGGAACAGGCAGGTGGGAAAGAAACATCCAATTATAAGAGTTTGTTCTCTCCTTCAACCATGCTAGTCATGGTAATCAAATTTGGGTCATCAGATTTGGTGACAGGCACCTTTACAGACTGAGCTATCTGCGAAGTCTTGATAGAGTTGATTCTTAAAATATAAATAGCTTCACAAAAAAAGGAGTATAGCAACCAATAAGCTTTAAAAGCCAGTTCTCTCTACCTCTTTTATAATGGATAAGACCATTATATATGGTGGAGACCATAGGCAGTTGTGGGGCTTCATCCTACTTTCCGAGAGCTAGCCGTCAAGTCAGAGTTAGGAATGAGCGGTCCAGGAGTAGGGGCTTGTTGTCTCAACATCTACTCAAGCCACCAAGTGTTCTGCTCTACTTTGGCATTCCAGTGTCCTAGCCGATGACCCTTCACTGTCTACCAATACCCCTGTGGTACTTTATCTCAGAACCGCATCAACACGTCACTTTGCTTCATGTCTGTGCAAACTAATAACCTACTTACAGCCATTTCATCCTCATTGTCTCATCCTAAAAACCATATGACCTCATGCTCCAACATCGCCTACTTCATGCAAAGTCACCTAGGTTTTCAGTCCAGTATGACAATTTCCAATACACATCTATATCTTGGACATGCACCTTTGGATTCCTAGAGGCTTCTTTAAATATATATTTAAGAAATTTCCTCTTCCCCAAGTAAACAGCATTTCTTCATATAGGCATTTTCCAGCTGCCTGGAATTTTTGTCTACCTAGGACTTGCCATTATCTGGAAATACTTCATTTCTGCGCAAGCTATGACTAACACAATGAATAGGGGCTCACTCTTTTTGGGGAATTCACTCCAGATTCTGTGTTTTCACCCTTTCATAATAAAAGCTTTCTGATATAGATGCATACCTTTTGTGTCTTCTTTCTGTCTAATTGGCTGACACTGGAAATCCAGCACTGAGATAAATTAGCTTCCTGGGCATGACTTTATAGTGTCAAAGAATTCAAAAGTCATGTGAAAAATATATGGGCCATTCTCCTCTATGAATTTCCAGCAATTGCTACCTATTGATTTAAATTATAAATTTGCATATGAAACAAAAATGTACTTTCTTAAAACTTTATTGACTTTTATTTTTGTGTATATGGGCATACTGTCTGTGTATCTACCTAAATGCTGTGTCCATTTTGTGCCTGCAAAGTCCAGAGGGTTCCTGATCCTCTGGAACTGAACTAACGACTAGAGGTTGTTTGCTGTCGTGTAGTTACTTGGAACTGAATCTCAGTTCTTTTTCAAGAGCTGCAAGTGCATTTAACTCCTGAACCATCTCTCCACCCCAACTACTTTTCCTAAGACAGGGTCTTATTATGTAGCCTTGGTTGACTAGGAACTCACTCTATAGACCAGTCTGACTTCAGGCTCACAGAGATCTGCCTATCTCTTCCTCCCATACTGAGGTTGAAGGCATATGTCATCATGCCCAACAATTAAAAGCAAAATTTTAATAAGCAATTTATTCACTTGAAATAATAAGAGATAAGTGGCAATCAACATTTTAAGCATACTTGGAGAATAAAATTAAACAGTTTCTAAACATTTCTGTTATACCTTTCCACCATTGATCTTCTTTATGCAATTTCCTTAATAATTTCAAGAACAAGTAGCCAAAATTTAAGAAATGTCCCTTCCTTTTTAGTGTTAGCTTTACTTAAGTAAAAACAATCTTATTAAACTGTAAACAAAATAAATATTCTCTGGGATTTTTTTTCTTTCCTTGTGAAACAAGCGGAAAGACAAGGAAGCAAACACGGGTTCAGACTCCAAGCTGTTGGGGTAAATTACTTCATTTAGGGGCAGTCCCCCACTAGAAACAAGGTTGGGATGGACAGAGTGCTCTCTCTGAGCCTGCCTAGCCAGTTCTATCAAGATGTCTTTCGTCAATTAGCTTGCTCGATTGACTAAGCATCTCCAGCCTTGTTTACTTGAATAAAGATGGAGCAGGAAATTCCAGTGAGACGAAACCATCTTCACAGAGATCACTGAGAAACAGTCCTCACATAAAGTAACAGATTCCAAGCAGTACACCATCCGTCTAGATAATAAGTGTGGCTGCTTCCCACTTAAAAAGTGAAGCCACTGAAATTTCCAAGTTATTTGACAGTTTTGGTAAAGAGTACAGAATCAAACATCCAAATATTTGAATAGGGGAAAAGGTCTCATTTCTTGTTCTATTTTTTTCTATAATTTGTTCTTTATTTTGATTAGGTAGCTATGTATCTCCTTAAAAAGTGAAAAGCAAACTTCAGAGAATTATTTTTATCTTAACTATTATGAAATAAGTAGTTAGCAATATAATATTTAGAGTCAAAGAATTTTTGGAAATAACCAATACTTCTAAGGAGGTAAATTAACAGGCTAATACACTAAAACCCACAGGTAAAAACTGGATGGTGTCCTTGATGAGACAATGGTAAGAAAAAAGAATGGACATTATTTAAATTGGATCCATTATTATGAATGAATTTGACGCTTGATTCTCTTCTATTTCTGTTTCAAAACCCAAAATATAAGAGACAACAGAGTTGCTGCTGAATTTGACAGATTTCCTACTGAACTGGGCTCTTGCACTAAATAGTACAACTGACTTTGTTCAAAGCCACTCATTTTAATTGAAATAAAAAGCCAGATATCTGGTCTCCAAGTCTCCCTCCAATCCCAGGGCTCTGTCTTTTTCAGATTCCCCTTTCTCGGCACATGATGAAAGAGATTGTTTGTACTTTGAAATATGGCACATTGCTCTAACTACCATTCTCTTCTCAGAAAGTCTAGAGAAGGGGTTTGTTTTCTTTTAAATTAGTTTCCACCGGAAGATACAGGTGCTCACGAGCTCTGGGTTCTCACCAGTGTGTTGAGTTTGCCCTCGTCTTCTTTTGCATCTCAGTTCACTTTCTGAAAGCAACTTCTCTCTATGCCTGAAATCATCTCAAAACTCAAGCAAATACAGTACAGCTTTGTAAGCTTTGTCATGAATATTTCTGTATTTTCACAACTTTGCCTGTTTCACAATACCTAGGAAATTCCAATCCAGAATGCTTAGTTATTACACCCTTTTAGCAAGATGCACAAAACCGAGATACTCAAAATATTATTTGTGTATAATTATTATTTCAGTTTGTGATACTTCAAAATGGGTTGAACAGAGGGTACAATTTGTTAATTAATGAAAGTATACGTGACTAAAATAACTGAAACTTTAAATTACTAAGACTCAGTTCAGGATATTTTTAAATCTGTTCCCCAAACTTCAAAATATATCTTTATTGACATGTAAAATATATCTCATCTCTGGATATTAATTTGAATGTGTAAATCAGTTAATATAAAAAGCTTAGTTTAAAACAAAATGTAAGCTACTGTCATGCCGTATGGATCTATACACACCCCAGATTTTTGTTTATTAATACAAGTTGGGAAAAATGATTCCTATATTATAAGAAGATCTTAAAAATAGAACAATATTTATAAAACTAAAATGTAATACATAATACACCCATAGGTTGCAAACTTCTCATTCTGCTGGTTGCTATAAGGAAGGTAGAATTCCTTACCAAGGATGAATTCCAGCTGTGGCTCATTGGGGATCTTCTGGATGCCTAGAAATAGTAGGGATACGTTTAGGTTTTAAAAGTATTTGTTATCAATACTATAACAACAAACTACTGTTTCACCTGACCAGATATGTACATATATTTTTGGCAAAATTAATAGAGTCAGATAATCAGGCTTAACCGTTGCTGGTTCTCAGGCGAAGGCAAAGCACATGCTGTAAAGTCAGTAGAAATAACAACTCACGGCCATAGAGAAACCCCAAGTGGCAATGTAGAAGATGCTTGTCAACTGTGTCGACTTAGTTTGGAGGTGTGCAGACAGAACTGGGACTTTTCCAAGAAATCACCTCACCAAGGAACTCTCTTAAGTGTCTTTTCTTTCAAGCTCCATGACTTGTAAATATGGAACCATTAACAAATGGGATGGCTCTAGCCACATTCTGGCAGGCATGGACACAGAGCTGATTATTCTGCTCACTTATTGACTATTTCAGTCAAATTCTGCTCAACCTTTACTCCTTTTGTCAGTGACATTTCCAAAAGAAGACAGCACATCAAATGATAGAAGATGGAGTAGGAGTGAGGAAGTGAGTCTCAGAACGAAGGCCTAGAAATAGGGTGTGTAACTGTGAGAAAGTGAGATGCTCAGGATGCAGGAACACATTGTGGGAGGTGGATGTTGAAGACCATAGGCAGTCAACAGCAATCCCTTATGGGAGGTGGATGTTGAAGACCAGAGATAGTGAATAGCAGTCCCAAACAAGCATGGGCAAGGGTGTGAATGAATGACATTCTTTGTTACAGCTCATAAGTAGCCAAAGAAACCAAAGTGAAACATATAGAAAACTATATCACTTAACAATAAATGTAAAGCCCCTGCCCTTGTTTAGGTATTCCTTCAGAAATGGTTTAAATTAACTAGCATTTGCTCAATAACCTATTTTTAAATCCACTTGTTTGAGCAAGATGCAATGCCTTTTTATCCAGAGTTAACTATTTCTTTATTTGTTTTTTTAGTACAGAAACCATTTATTTTTTTCTCTCTTGCTGACATTTAAAAGGCTTCAGTTAACAATGTTAAGCTGTCCAAGGATGTTAGAATCATTAGCTAAGTTCTTGTGAGATAATCCAGTTTTGTTTTTGTTTTGAATACTAATAATTAACTCTTCTCTAAGCTTTGACAATCAAATGTATTGGCAATGCATCCAACAAATACCATTTTCTAAAGACATTTTTTAAGATACAAGGTTAATGAGGTTAGGCATCTATCTGCTAGTGCTAAAAATGAGTGGAAAGACTGTTTGGAAAGAAAAGGCCAGAGTTTAAACTGAAGAACAAGCTGAAAACCTAGAATTGTAAGCATGAGAGAAAACATAATATTCTTTTAAATTTCTTAATTACTTGACTAGCACAAAAAAAAAAAAAAAACGATTCCAATGTTCAGATTTAAATCTTGGCCAAGTCTTTAAGCATTCTGTGTTCTGTGGATTAGCCGACTGGGAGAGCAGTGAGGCAAACCTTGGGGAACACCTACCACTAATGCTTTCACCTTAAATACCGCTTGGTCTTAACAAGGTCGAGCTTCCAAAATATTGATTCTCTATCGGAATAAATAAACGCCAAATGGAAGTTGTTATTACTTAAATATGATTAGCATCTGGAAAGGGTCCGTCAAATGGATTTATCAGTGTTTTAAAACACATTTGAAAACTTGAGCACTGGATGCTGGTTCATGCTGACAGATCATGTCTCCCCCAGATAAAGCAGAGAAGAATGTCATGCACTCGTAGCCCAAAACACAGAGAGAAATGGGGAAACAACTGGGTAATCCCATGTTCCTTGGTGGAATCCAGGTTTCTGTGAACGTGCGAGGATATTTGTTTGGCTTACACGTATCTGGGTTACAGTTTGGCTCTTTAGAAACCTATGGGAGACAAGACACATGTACTTACTTGTGAACTGAATGTCCTCAGGGTCATTTGCCTGAGCTGTAGGAAGAAAATGCTGGCCTTCTTCTGAAGTTCCTTCCTCTTTGATTTCCATGATCCACCGCACAACTGATTTCTTGTCCACGGTGTCTTGTCCAAGTGGTACCAGAGAATGGGTTCTGGTTTAAGGCTGGTGTATCTTCACTCTAACGATCTAATATCCGCTGTGAAATTCTGCACAAAGAAATACCAAGATTCAACATTGCAGCCATTTTCGAGCTCAAATGACACTTAAGGATTAATATAGAAATTACAACAACTCACAAATTTCCTTTCCTCCATGTCCAGGTCTCTCGCACTTTCAGAATCAAACTACACAATGCACTGGGAACTCTAGGCTAAGTCAATGTTTTCAAGTCATATGAGAAATTCCTAAATCCAGAAAGATATATTCATCCCTTCAATTTAATTTAATTTAATTTTTATGAGATACATACAGGGTTGCTAACTTAAGGGGCATATATTCATCCCTTCAATTTTATTTACTGACCTAGAACCCAGCAGATGGCATCCTGTCAAGGAATTTGCCTGCTTCGCCACTAAGACCATCACTGCGACTCCTTCCCTTGGAATCTCCCTTTATGTCCCGGATGTAGCACTCTGCCCCCGGCAGAGCATGAGTCACAAGTACATAACCGTAATTGGCATGTCCTTCTCTTCCAAGATGGGCTCTCAGGTTCAAAAGGGGAGTTTCCAGCCTTGATATTTTTCACAGAGTCTCCTACTGTTCTTTCTGGTGGTGGTTTAATTATTTCATGATTGAGGTATGGTGGGGAAAGAAGGAAAAATAATTCTCAAAAGCTGAAGCTCAAAGGAAAATGAAAGCAACAGAGAACTGGTGGTGATCAATACTGAAAAAGGACACCCCCCCTGATTTAATACCCTGTTATAAATAGTTTCAAATAGTTACAAATTCATGTTGATATACATGACCAAGAATGAATTGAAAAAAAATCAATGTTGTTTTAAATCAAGTTACCAGCTGAATTAAAATGTGCAAAAATCTTTAAATGTCTACCCAGTGCCATTTAATGAGATAACAGTCAACGAGTTTGGTTTGGAATACTGATGTGACCTCAAAACCCACAAATCAACAATCCCACATTCTGCCGGTCTTAACAAAGTAGCTTCATTTAGAATTCAGTTGTAGTTCTTAGAAACCATTTGACAAAATTCACATGCAGAAAGCAACACGAATCTTTAAAAAACATTACAATTTAGCTGCAGATATTGGTCTTAATGATATAAGCAAGAGACCATTGTCTAAGGTAAAGGACTGTTTGACATCAATTAGATAATAATCATCAATTTCAAAATTATTTTTTCAATTAATACAGTTCTTCTAATTTATTTTTTGCCTATTACATTCATAATTCTTTTTTGATAAATACACACATATTCATTGCAGTCTCCCAAAGACCTGAAAATTCTGTGGCTCTTGATATGAGAATCTTATCAACCTCATTATATTATTTTAATTAAATACTCAACCCTTAATCCTGACCAGTCATTTTAAAAAATTGCAAGACCCACAAGAGATGATGCACATCCTTGATAAAATAGCCACTCAGCACAGTGGATATGAATAATTGATAAAATAAATGCTAATGCAGGTCTGTGTGCACACTTGCATAATGCAGAGAGAAGGGACAAGAAGGAAGTATGATGCTTCTGAGCTTTCCTTGCCATGGTCACACTTAACTGTATCGTCGACCGAACACATACAGCATGAGAAAACCATACACAAAGAAAAAGTATGTGCTGCTGCCGAGAACAAGGGTCTATTTTTACTCTTCGTTTGTTACACTGAAGAATAATTTAAGATTTGCTACTTGCTATCGAGACATAGGCTTCAAACATATCAGTAGCAAAGCTCCGGCAAACTGTTCAATTTCCAGGTAGAAAGTGCAGTATTTAGCCTGCTGTGGTTGGCTTCCTTTTCTGGGTCTGTTTGGAAGTTTTCTGGCTTGCTGGTCATTCACACTGTGGTTTCGGCCTACCACACATATATTTAAAGGTCCATTTTTAAGCATGGGGACTGTTCCTTCCAGGTCTCCTACCTTCAGACCTACCCAGAAGCAAGGCATAAAACAGAGAGTTGTACTGCACAGCCGTGGGCAAACACTGCTGCTTCTCCGGCTCCCCCAGACGAGGACGAATGATGCGGAGCTATATTTACAAGTTATAGTTAATTGAATAGTATTTCTCATAGACCATGTAATAAACATTGCTAAACGTTTTACATGCCTCACCCTAAAATTAATACTGTGACATTGTCACAGAAGTCATGAAAAGACATCATGGTTAATTCGAAAGAGACTGATCGATCATACATAGGACAAAACAGAGACATTCGACAGTGAAGGAACAGTATGAAATATCTTCAGCATTGAAAGCTGCAGCCTGGTGCTGGTCATTCATTATTGACAGCCAGAACAATGGCATCTTCTGGTCAAGATCGAGTGCTGAAGGCAAACAGTGGGTGGGCACGAGACATGATACCAAGAATGATGTACTTAGCCACTGTGGTGTGATTCAGACATCACCCTTCTACTACACTGTCTTATATTAACGTGGCCTTGCCATGCTTTAGAAATCCGTGAGGAAAAATTGAATCAAAAAGTTTTTAAAAAAAGAACTGAAATTGTAATAAAAATTACAAAAAGATAAAATAGAGAATAGAAGAATCAGGTCCATAGTGATTACATTCAAAAGCTACAGTAAGGGTACTCATCTTGTGATCAAATGACACAATTTAGCTGTACCAAACAGTGTCATCTGTCTATGGGGACCGAGTCCTGCTATTTATCCTAGGACAGGAAGGGCAAGACACCTGAGCTTGATGAACTGAGACTCGCTCACCTCCTCTCTCACTTTCTGTTACGTGAATAAATCTGGTTGAATCTCTGGATCTCTACAAAGCTGTGATTGGATGAACAACAAGAGAGAGGTGTGAGACAAGATTCAAGGGTAAGGGAATTGTACTTCGCTCTAGAATGCGAAAGTCCCAAAGGGAGGACAGGGTCATGAGTAGATAAGTACTTTGATGCCCTGCCTCCTATCCTAAATCTAGAGCAGCCACATCCAGGTTTGTTCCTTCGCTGTAGCCCGACTCACACAGAGATCATAGAACATGTTTTAGAGCTCAACACTGTTACTGTTTTCATGATAGCTCATTCTCTCTATTTTCTAATTTTAAGAAATGAGAATTGTTTCCAAAGAAAGAGCACATAACACTCAGTGATTAGGCAATCTGAAGCCTATATAGCAGACTAGGTAGAAAGAGAAGGAACACACCAAGGCAGATATACTGCATACTCACTCTAGGAAGTTCACCAAGTGTCAAAGCAAAGATTATCCTAGAAGCCTGAACACGGGTAATGATAAGGAAATTATCTTATTTGTAGGTGATCTTAGTAGCTCAGAAAAATAAAATGAGAATCTATGCCAACATACAAATATTCGGTTAGAAAAGAGAGCCATAATTTCAAATGATACTGGTCTTAGTGATAGAATTTGGTGTAGCAACTGTGAAAAATAGGTATGTTTTTGATACCTAGGAAACTCTGAACCAATGAACTTCCTGGAGAAGAAACAAGAAAACACTGAGAATCTCTGGGACATGTCCACTAGGACTTTCGGATCCCTATTATTGTGACCCATAGTCAAGGAGCTTGGTATCTAAGACCTCGGCTCTAAGACATCAGCAGAAATCTGCCCTGCCTGATTTCTGCCCCACTGCACTGAAAGCAGAGTGCAAATACGGCAAGCTACCTAAATCCCTCTTGTGAACATTGTGAGCGTACCACAGTTCACTTGTGAACTGTGAACATCTCTCCCAGAAAAAGCCTAATGTTGAGAGCAGAGAACCAAGTCTCCAGCCACTCATCCCTACTCATACCGTGTAGGAGTAACACCAGTAGAATGTATAGTCAGCTATGAAGGATGTCATAGGAACAGTACTGAAGCCTGCTAAACTACCAACTAGATGGATTCCAGCTTCCCAGAATACACATTAAAGGCTTAGAAGTAAAACTGGGATGTCCAGTTCCAGCCACTAACCCTCTACAGCCCAAGGTCTGCAGCTCTACATAGCACACAGATGAGGACAGAAAGGAAAATGAGCAAGAAAAGGAAGAGGAGAAGGGAAACGAAGAGGAGGAGAACGGGAATGGGAGGAGCAGGGAGAGGAGCAGAAATGGGAGAGGAGGATTAAAACAAGAAAAGTCTTTAAAGAGAAAAAGTAAGGACATTATTAAAGAGATCACATCCCGGTAGTGAAATTATCAAAAACAGAATTGGAAAGAGACTGTTCTGAAGGTTATAGCAGAAAGCTCTACACAACCAGATAAGAGATGGTAGCCAAAACATAAATAGAAAAGTGAATGAAATAAATATTAAAAAGGTAAAATATAGTGGGCAACGCAAGGAAGACGGGTCTGTAGATCTGTCACAACCTAAAAATGAGAAAATCAGAAAGTAGGTCAATCGAATGTACCTAAACAGAGACACAGAAAGCAAAGAGACCAGTGACAACATGTTGGTGGGAACACCAGGCATGTGCAGTCTGACTCTCAGAAGAGGGAACAGAGCAAATATTTGAGGTGGTAATGACTGAGATTGCTCCAAAAATGTTGAAAGATATCAAAACATATATCCAAATGTGCTCAGAAAACATCAAGCAAAGGAAGAGCCCTAACTCTATATACCATTAAATCACAGGCACAGCACACACCACACACACACACACACACACACACACACACACACACACACACACACCCCTGCAGAAGGCCTATGCATTGTGATCCATCACAGGGGGAAATCCTAAGACATCTAAGCAAAACATAACAAGTTGAGAAACACAATGGCCTCAGCGGTTACATGTTAAAAGAACAGAATGATATCTCCAATGTTTTGAAATAAGAAAACCTGTCAACCCAGTGTATTGCACAAGGCGAAAATAACTGCTAAGCACTGGAGAGCACTAGAGGCTCTTCAATCAGAAATATGGAACGGAAAACACATCGTCAGCCCTGCACAAAATGGAAGAGAAGTCCTTCAAGCATGACAGAGATATGCAGGTCTATGAAATAAAGAACAGCTCTGGAGATAGCACAACAAAAATAAAAGTTAACTTCGTTTTCTCTTGCTTTTAATAAGGACAAAAGTTA